AACTTATAGTGAAAATAATGTTGTACAGTTGTATATTTATATGGTTAGTTTGTAGTAAAAATAAGAACTAACATTTATTAAAATTGCTAAGTGGTCATTATTTTAAAGTATAAGTTCCTGTACAGATTTTAGTAAAATAATAGATATATAAACATATGAATAATTCTAAGTTCAGAGATCATTTATGTACCTAGAGCGTAAAATTTGAAGTCAGATAGCTTAGCACGGTGCCAGAAAGTATTAGTGTTTTGTCGTTCACATGGATGAAGAGTTACCGGTGTGGTTTAAACAGTCAACATGAGTCTGTGGAGTCGATGACAAAAAAAACATATGACTAGTTAAGTATTTATCAAATACAAATACAATTTAAATAATTTACAATAAATCATTAATGATAAAATATATATTATTTAAATATGTATAAAATAAAAGAATTCGGCAAAATAAGTTGCAGTGTATTTTAAAGGATTCTAATTCATGATTAGTAATATTTATGAAATATGCTTCTTACTCAAACTTAATCAAGTATAACTCATTTTACCAATCAAATCCATAAATTCATAGTACCTACTACAAGAATCGGATTTGAATTTAAGTGGTGATTTGAGATAATCATGCGAGGTCTAAGAGCATTTCTAATTTACTGACATTATTTGCTATAAATGTTAAAGTAGAAGAAAACTTATTTTAACTCATCTCTATTAAACTTTCTAAAATAAAGATTACTAATTTTCTTTTATACGTAAAGAAATAAATAATATTCTCTATTATAAAAACATATTTTAGATACTTTCATTCAATATTTTTACTAAATATATCTAAAAATAAATATCATTTTGGGAAATAAACATCATTTACATATTAGTCTTTTAAATTAAATTAAATTAAATTAAGTTTATATAGTATCATAATCTTATAAAAAAATTCAAAATAAAAATAATTTGGGTTCATTTTCAACGTTACCAAACAAAACATATTATTTATAACATAAAACAATATCAGAAATATTATTTTTCTCTTATGTAAAAAATACATTAGGAAAACATCCATCTATATTATACATTTTCTTATTTTAGAAAAATAAAATTTAAAAATTACATTAAAGATAGTCTAACAAGTTATGAAAAAATCTCAACTTTCATTCTCAATCTTCATTCAGAAAACTAAATGAACTGAAAGTATTCGGGTATAAAAAAAGAAGACCTAGGACGAGTAAAACACATTCATAAACATTAGGTGTAAGAGTTATGGTTTCCTTAATTTATTTTGTTCTTGGTGAAATTACCTAATTTAGTTTCCAAAAACAAAAGAAATTACCTAATTCTTTAAAGTCTTATCTTTTTGTCTTATAACCCATCTCTTAATAAATCAATAAACATGCTTTCAAGTAATTCATCATCAAATTTCTGTACCGTCTCGAATTTAGATTAAACAAATTGCTTGATAAAAATCTAGATTCAGATATGGATCATGCATATATAGATGATATGTATACGGGCTGACAAAAAAAAAAGAAGAAGATGATATGTGTACGGTATGGATGAAACAATTTAAAAGGTTGTGTATATGGATGCATCATGCATGCATGACACTACGATTTGTGTTAATCTCTTCCGTCCACGTCGAATTGACATATCAACTATTTTGCATACTCATCTTTTGTACATTCATAATTTTAGTATTACTATAATAGATGTCCATGCTTCCCGCCATGTTTGCTTTAATTGATCAAATTCAATAAAATTCATAGTTTCTGTGTCATATCCGAAGATAATGTTTTATATTCCATCCGAAGGATTATTCGAGAGTTGAAATATAAATAGAAACAAAATAAAAAGGAATAATTACCACAAAAATTGGAATAAAGCCAAATGGGTAATTTACCAAAAAGCCATATGGGTAAAATTATTATGGGGTTTGGTGTTTAAATATTGATCTCTAATAACCTATTTAGGTTATTTTAATTTGTGTTTGTTTTCAATTTGTATATACCATGGCTTCAGAAAACTGATGGTGAATAAAGTTGACAAATATGATTAAATAAGAAATATCTATTAGTCATGAGAAACATAATGTCATTTTTAAATATTTGAAGTCAACATATTAGTGTAGATTACAAGAACCTTTAATTACTTACCTCGGACTCAGGGTCTGCGCTGGGCAAAGCCAGATAAAACATCGGCTTTGGCCTCCAAAATGTTTGAAAAAATTACATGTATATAGATTCCAAAAAAAAATTTAGGCCCCTAAATCCTTAGAAAATTTTTTTTAGGTAAAATCATTATAAAATCGCCTTTGGCCACATAATTCTCAGAGCCGGCCCTGCTCAGACTCTAACAAAATTGTCATGATGCTGTTAATGTTTTATTAAAAGTTATCTCCCCTAATAAATTTGTAAGCTTTTTGTATTTTCATATATCAAATTCTTTTTATGAAGGTTTTAAATTAATATTAATTGAATAAAATGTTACATGTGTAGGAAGTACGAACATATATTAATTCAGAGAGTGTCTCCATATTATATGTAGCCACGCGTGGTCTCGTATAGCTGATGTAAATATCTTGAGCGCGAGTAAGCGTGCGTTTCGTAAATAAGATTTCAACCACGGACGTACAAATAGTTTCGTGTTAAAAAGTAAAAAAAAAAATGTAAGACATATAGAAAATAGTAATCCCCTATACATTAAAAAAAAATCATTTAAAAAATTGTAACCTTAAATTTGTAATAATTAAAAATAACACAATCCTATGTGGCATATATCAAATATTTATTGTATCGCAAACTTTCCTAAATAAAATCTACGAAATTATCTAATATGAATAAAAATATATATATGACAATTAATGATTTTAAATAATTAATATTTGATAACAATCTATATACTTTTTATCATTTTGTTTATTTCTTTATTATTAAAATAAATTACACAAGCATTAATCATATAATAAAAATCTAGATTTTTTATTTGTGTATGTAGTATTTCGAATTTTTCAAAACGAGTATAAATTACTAAAACTATTAAAAATCTCACATAAACTTTTAGGATCAATGTTTTAATTTTTTTCTATATTAAAATATAATGATTATAAGACCATATGAAGAAATAATTTTATTTTAATAGGTTTCATGTCAATATATATATATATATATATCATTTAATTTAAACTATACATCGTAAGAAAATAAATACTTATATTTTGATATTTGCATTGAACATATACTGAAAAGTTAATATTTTAATTTTAAAATATGTCATTATTTTTCTAAAATAATTATAAATTATTGAAACTACTAAACATCGCACATTAAAAAAATTCGTTGGTGTAAATTTCGGTTACCCAAATATGCAAATAATCACAAAAATCATATGAGTAGAAACATTATTTAATAAATATCCATATTAAAAGTGTGCTACATTACTATGTTTATATCATTTAAATTTAATTATATATCATATACGATATATAAGATTGATTGTTTTGATTTATTTACCCTAATTGCAAATAAAAAAGAGAGATAGTTAAATTTATATGCATACGCCAATTTACTACATAATAGTAATTGATTTCTTAGTTATTTAATATATGTATTTATTATTTTATCATTTTATAATATGCAGAAAAATATAAAATAAATAATAAATATAAAATACTTATTATGCATAAAGTGCAGATTTTAACCTAACTATGTATCTCTTTAAATATTTTAAATCTTAAGTATTTTCTTAATCACTTGTCAAAATAAACTAAAGAAATGAGAATAAACTTTAAAATCAATATTTATATCGAGTAATAAGAAAAAAAAAACACAACAAGAGAAAAAATTGAAGATAAATAGGATTAACACATGAAAGTAAACTTCTCATAACCAGAATTAATTTTTAAATTGTTAAATCATGCTATAAAACTGAGTTAATTTTAATTTATTAACTTTTTAAATTTTTAATTTTTTAAATCATTTATGTTAAATCATGACCATAATTAATTTTAAATTGTTAATTTTTATTTGAAAAACTTAAAATATTGTTTTTAAAATACTTTTATTTTTTAAAATAAGGTAAAATTGAACTTATTTTTTTATAAAATTAATATTTTTTAATAATTTTTCAAAAATATTATTATTTTAAATAATTTGTAAAAATTAGAATTTTCTAATATTATTAGACAACTAAATAAATATTATTAAATTAGTTTTGAAACTTTATATATTCTAAATGTAAATATTCTACCAACTTCTTCTTAAAAAAACATTAGGGAACTTGCTAATACTCTACCAATCAAGCTCAGTGACACTCCGTTTATTTTCCATCCCTCGAACACTGAAAAGATATATGAAATCAGGTCCATTAAATTCTAAGTTTTGATCTAGAGTTCTAATTACTTCTGATCTTACGTATATAATTATATAAAAATTTCAAAATTCTCAAATTTCAAATACATATAAAAACATTCATATGTAAATTTTAAATTTGTCAATACTAAAATTTTATATTTTAATTACATACATTCATTCTGCAGAAGATGGATGTCTCATCCTAGTAATACTTTAAAGGGAGAGTGGAGGAACAACTGCCCTCAAGATTTTTATTTTTTAAAGATTAACATGATTGTGACGTGTCGCTTGCCTGTCTGCTTTGTGGGTTATGCATCTAGTGATATGAGATGGTATAATTTATATGTGATATCATTTATTGAATAATTCATTTGATGAATAAAAATAACATGTAAAACACAAAAAACTAATATCTAAAACAAAATTAAAATTTCTTGGAATGAGAAAATGTAGTAATTAAAAAGCTTGAAATTTAGTTACACCAACCAAATCTATATCAATAAGAAATAATAAAATATAGGATGGTGGAGTGTGATAATAATTGAAGTTAGTGTGGACACTTTCAATTTTATTTTACATTTTGTGATAATACGTATGTGGACTTAAATATGGAACACCAAAATTTTCATTTTAGTGCCTCGATTCTTTTCTCTCCCCATCTCGCTTTCTCAGTGCTCTGTCTCTCTCTCTCTCTCTCTCTAGGAAACCATTTTTTCTTCTTCTGCCAAGGAACCTCATCTAAAGTTTTGTAAGTTTTATTGTTGTTCTTCTTATTGCTCTAAAGATTGTCAATCTGGTTTATTCTACTTCTTCCTTTCATTTGATGGCCTCTATTATTTAAACCAACTTCAAGATCGCAAATCTTAAAATCTTTAGATTGGTATGTGTGTGTGCATAGGTTTATGAGTAAAAGATATATTTTAAAAACTCATTTTCTAATTTTAACTTCCAAATAGTTTAGGTTTGGGATCTTATTTCAAGTTCTTCAGATTCTTCTTTCTCTCTCTCTCTCTCTCTCTCTCTCTCTCTCTCTCTCTCTCTCTGTAAATCTCATCTTATGTGGATCTCTTTCTATCTTCCAGATTTACTTCTTCCCATTTGTAACATCTTTTTTTTTTAGCTGATCAAGAATCTTCCTCCATGTCTAGAGTTTTCTTTGAGTTTACATAGTTAATAAATAACTCATATGATATTTTCTTTGCTTTAATTACTAGGCGAGCTCTTTCATCTTTTAGATGTCTAGTTTCACTTTTTCTTCCTCTTCTTATGATCCATTCAACATAGAATAAGCTCTCGAATCAGATTGGAAACTGAAACCTTTTTATTTGTTTAAGACAAAAGAAAAATCACTGTCTTTTGCGTGAGAATAATTGTTTCTCTTTGTGATTTCACATCAAATGACACATAAAACTTTTAAAAATAAAATTTTTATACAAACCAATACCAATATCTCTTTTTCCACATGAAATAATGTTTCACTTTTTCTCTTACCGGTTTCTTAGAATCACAGATCTCATAACATATAATAGTTTCTTAATCTTAATTGCATTTGTGTTGTTAACAGGAGGATTTAAAACTGGGGATGATAAAGAAGATGTGGTGTTGTTATGCTGAAGTTTTTGGGAAGCGAAGAGTCAGATAGTAACAGTGGTGGAAGAATCAAATGTTCTTATCCACTGAGAACCCACCACATCACCACCCACTTCCTTCTTCTTCCAGTTTCTTACATCTCACCTCTTCTTCCCATGAGTTAGCTCAATCCCATCCCCAAAATTTCTCCATCAGGTAAAATTAAAAGCTCAACCTTTTTTTTCTGGGTTTCTTCGCCAATATGGTTTTGTCCCCAAAAAGGAAACAAAGTCTCGTTATTTCATGATGGGTCAGTCTCAAATGATCATAAGCTAGAACTCATCCTCTTGGCTAGATCCAGAGTTTTGAGCTTTCTTCCTTCTTCCTTGTACTGATCAATGGGTCATCTTAAGCTAGAGCTCATCCTCTTAGCTAGATCGAAAGTTTTGAGCTTTTCGTCCTTCTTCCTTGTTACTGATAAATGGGTTGTCAGATCTTATGGTTTCAAAGTTTAGATATGCTTTAAACGTCCTTACATATGCTTAGTGTTAAACTCTATTATCTTTGGAGTGTTTTAAAAGTACCTAACTTTGTTTCATGTATGTTTGATTCTTGCAGAGATTACGCATATAGTAACCGGAAGAACAACATCAAGAACAACTGGCCTTTTTCTCCCAAAAGTCTCCAACTTCTTTCAACTCATGGAGTGACTGTTCCTTTGCCACCGTTTCTGAAAAGTTCTACCGTAAGTAACCAGTTTGAGACCACCTCTAAGCAAATCGTATCACATGTTCAACGAGAAAGAGATTTGGCTAAACTTGGGATAAATCAGACAATAGCAAAGACTAGAAAAGGAGTTTGTAGCCAGTCTAAGGTCGTTAATAATGGGTTGTTCAAGCGCACAGGTGTTTCCAAGTCTAAGGAAGAGATAGTACTAGTAGCTGCTACAAGTAATAATAGCAAGAACAAGCACAGTAAAACGTGTGGACGAGGAGGAATGGTGAAATCCAATGAAGCAACTAGTTGTGTTGGCTCCGAATCAATTATGGCTTCAAAAACATGTCCTATATGCAAAACCTTCTCATCAGCTTCCAACACTACTTTGAATGCTCACATCGATCAGTGTATATCTGTCGACTCAGCAGTGCCGCCGGTTATTAGCAAACTAAACAGGCCTAGAGTTAACCAGTGTCTGCCTGTTGATTCAGCTGTGCCATTGATTAGTAGTAAGCCAACCAAGCCTAGGGGTAAGCCACGGTTGAAAGTGAAAACGATGGTTGAAATCTACGCTTCTGCCAAAAGATGCACATTAGAAGATCTTGACAAAAGAAATGGAACAAAGTGGGCTTCGGTTTTGTGTCACACGAATAGGGTTGTTGCTGATAAGGCTGAAGTGTCCAAGAAGCGTAAAGTTCCTCCTGTGGGCGTTGGTCCTGTTTATATTGATGCCAAGGGACAAAAGCTGCGGATTTTAACAGAGTTCAGCGAGAAGAAGACTTCTACTACTCCGTTGAGAGAGCAGGAAGAGGATTGTATTAATGACAAGAAAAGTTCAAGCCAAGCTAGTAAAGAAAATATTAAAAGCTCAAGGAAGAGACGCCAGGGAAAGAAACATCACAAGTATGTTAAACTAACCAGCCGCAAAGCGAATGCGTCAGAGGTAACGTTTTATTTTTGCATATATTCATTCTTGGTTCATGAGATAACAGTACACTGATTTGTACAGCAGATACCAGAGTATAGAAGAGGGGTTTCTGGAGAAGGTAGCAGCACGGGTCATCGTAGAATCTATAATGAGGGGATGCTAGCAAAACGTGGTTCGAGTTCAAAGAAGCTAAATGAGAAAGGAGATAAAGTTAATGTGTGTCAGGATCAGCCATCTGAGGATGATGATGATGATGATTCATGGTCAGGAGGAGATCATGTTGTGTTGAGAGGTACTGCTTTGTCTGCTTTAAATAAACAGAAACTGCGGAGGGAAGTGTCTGGAAGGAATAAGACTATGTTTGGGAGTAAAAGAGCTCAAAGAGTTCGGATGAGTGAGAAGGAGGAGACATCACTTGCAGGAGCTCATCTAAACATTGTCAAGTTGAAGAGGAGCCTTACTTCGATTCAAGAAGATAAGTATCCACCGAGAAAGAGTTTCAGAGAGGTTACAGATGCGTCTCCTCGTGCAACTAGCATGAGAAAGCTGTTGCCACCATTTGTAGCAAATGGCTGGAGACGATTATCTCTGCCTGCGGAGCTAAAGAGAGCTCGGTTTGAGTTGTCAGAGGAAGAAGAAGAAGAAACTGGGAAATGGGAATCTGAAATGACACAAACAGAAGATGATTATATTTCTGGTGATAATGGAGAAAGAAATGAGGCCTTAGGGAGATCAAATACTTCAACATTTAGTGGTTACAATGATTATGAAGATGATGATGACGAAGAAAGTAGTGAAGAGGAGGAAGATAATAACGAAGGAGACAAAACAGATGTTACTCCACCATCTAATGAAACCATACCTAGTGAGAGAGCATTGTATTACTCTGAAGAAGTTGAGAATATGGTTTACGAGGAGGAAGAAGTGAGGTTTGATTCTGAGGTGGGAAAGGGAAGCTTATACGTAGAGGTTGATACCATTCCCATTCCAGGACCTCCAGGTTCATTTATACCAAGTCCCAGGGGTATGAGTTTTGGTAACTCGTCTGTTATCACAAGCCAGCTCCAATCTTCCATGGATCAGCTTGACAGAAACTCATCTGAATCACCTGTTTCTGCATTTTCAAACTTTGCAGCTGGTAGATTGAATTTTCCCGCAGAGTTATTCTCCCCGGACATTCCTTCGTTCTACACGGAAACTCAATTGAGCTTTTCTGCTCCATCTCATCATGGGACAGTCGCCGGGGCTGAGAGGATGACTGAAGATAAGACAACAACACCTTCAAGCTTTAGAAACAATGATCATGAATCTTGTTGTTGCCAAAGAAAGGAGATAATCTCAGAGGGCATTACTTTTAATCACCAAGAATCTCATCTACTGCAGCGAAGAGCCGCAGCTTCTTCTTCAATGGACATGAACTTAGCTAAGTCTCCCACACGTTTGGATCCAAATCATTCATACATGATCCAGCAAGAGTTTAATAATCTTCATAGTAAATTCTCAAGCAAAGGGAATGTCAATGGCGCTGTTGTGCCTCCAAGTCCTTCAAACTCAGTTTTTCGGTTGATGGGAAAAGACTTGATGGTCATGAACCAAGGAGAAGCAAACAACGAAGAAGCATCTCTGGCCAGCTTAAAACCAACCCCACAGATACAGTTTCTTGATCCTCCTCCTTGCGCTGGAGCCGGCTTATACTTAAACACAAGTCTCTATTTCAGAAACAGTTTGGAGGCAACACATCAACCACAGACACAAGCTTCAGCATCCAGAAACAATTTTGATCATGTGAGGTACTTTTCACCGAGGTAGTCAACGTTAAAGTTTCGACCTTTATGCAGTTCAAGAAGAATTTGAGAAGTGGTTTCTCTTTGAAAACATGGGTGCATTAGGTTTTAAGGTAGAGTTGGGATGTTCTACGGCATTTTCCATGCTTTATCTCTTTCTGCAGAGACTGTTGTTGTGTAGTAAAAAAAGCAAAAAGACTTGAAAATAACAAACACTATGTAGAGATAAGTAACTTTACGCTTTCATTGCTACCAAAGTTTTCTAAAAGTAAAAAACTTTTACTTTATCTTTAAGACTTGGCCATTGTGGTAAGAACACTTGATTGCTTCCACAAACTTCGGAAATTTACAGTTGGCACCAAAGTTTTTCAAAACCTCAACTCTTAAGTCTTAACAGTTAATTTTTCCTGGATCGCACCCCATATTTGTAAAATTTAATTAAAATCATAATGTAAATTAATTTTAAAACTGAATTACTTAAACAACTCGTGAACAAAAATCCAAATAATTAATTTAAAGGACTAATAAAAGCAAACGTTCACAAAATGTCAGACATTAATAAAGTGATATATAATGGAATAGTGTTTAGGTAGCCGCTTAGACCAATTTTAAAATATAATCGTTTCGTCTATAACAACCTACAGTATTTGTAATTTGTCGATGAGACCGTCCAAAACCAAATTTTAAAACAATTATATTGATTTTTTATAATTTCATTTTTTTAAAATCCTTAATTGTTATTTTGCATTTTGACTGTAATTTTTCATAGAAAATATTGTTGAAATCAGAGAAATTAAACAAAAAGTTTTAATCAAACAACACATGCAAAAATAGATAAGCGTTTTAAAAGAACATAAAACTAGTAGTTGAAGAAAATAAATAAACCAGTTATTAAATCTGATCAAAAAGCAATTAGATGAGCTGGCTACATTTGTATGGTTGGTGAAAGGGAATGATTTAGTGGTTGACTAAAAAAGTCGTTGGACACCTATCTCTATAATTCTCCACAGTAGCCGCTTATATACTCGGTGGCCTTTCGGGTCGGGCCGGGTCAAACCGGTTAACGATTATCAGAGAAAAATGGCCCCGTCGATAACAACGACTTCACCACCAACCTACACATCAATTCCGATACCTACCGGCGACGTCATCTCCCGATCAATCCATAACCTCACTTCCTCTATCTCTCGCCACCGTCCCTGGTCGGAACTCGTCTTCTCCGGCGCCTTCCGCTTCCCGGAGAGACTCTCCTCTCTCCCCCTCCGTTCTCGGAGTAATTTCCGTTACTTCTCCGTCAACTACTCTCTCTTCATCGGCACCTGCGCGGCGTTCTCTCTCGTCACAGTTAGTCCCGTCGCGCTAGTCGTCGTGGGAACGATCATCGCCTTGTGGCTTCTCCTTCACTTCTTTAGGGAAGATCCTCTTCTTCTCTGGGGGTTTCAGGTCGGAGATAGGACGGTGGTGTGTTTCTTGGTCTTAGCGTCCCTTTGGGCTGTCTGGTTTACTAGCTCCGTGGTGAGTTTGGTCGTAGGTGTCAGCGTTGGGTTGTTGTTGTGTACTGTTCACTCCTTGATTAGGAACTCTGATGAAATTTTCCTTGAGGAAGATGATGCTGTAACCGGGGGGTTGATTGGGTCTAGTCGCCGATGAAAATTTCAGACATTCTTACAGATGTTAATTTTTTATTTGCTTTTCTGCGTCCCTTTAATTACCAAATTTTTTTCGAAGGGGACCATAACTTTTTGTTTGTTTGATTTATTGTGATTTGTATTGTATTGTAAATTTTTTGAGGATGATCTGATTACTTGTAATCACTTCTTGTTTGATTGATTCTCACAGTGAGAGAAACCAACTTGTTCTGTGCATTATCCTCACGTGTAACTTTTGATTTTTTTTTCAGATACAATGTATCTTAATCTTGTTTTCAAGCTTCATAGCTTTTTCAGTTTTGTCATGAAGCTCGTGTAAGAAAAAGATAGGATTTTGAGGTCAACTTGTGTAGTGTTAATGATATAGTTTTCATACAGTCACTCTTTAGTCATCTGCTTTATATAGATACTAGATTTTGACCCGCCCTTCGAAAGGGCGGGTATATTTTGTTGTAAGTTTGACTTGAAAAACTTAATTTTTAATTTTAATTTTGGTAACTATATTAAATATGCTAAGTTGCATAACTATACATTTACGTCATATGAATTTCAAAAAATATTTTAAAGTTTGTAAGATATTATATTTTCATAAAAGTTATCTATCTATAACAGTTCTAGTTGTTGACAGAAAGGTAACGGTTTATATTAACTAATTTGCAGGAAGAAAGATAAATGACCAATTGATAAATGATAATTAGTCCAACAATTTTTATCAATTTGGTGACCTACTTAAAAATAACCAAATCTTTTATAATTTCACCTGAATATATCAAGACTATAACCATGTTCAACATTTGAATGATATATTTCAATAATATAATCATTTATGTCCTACATATTAGTTAACATAAACAGTTATCTTTAAAACTGACATGTATAGTTACCAAAAATTATATTAAATTAAATTAATATTGAACATAAATAGGATTGAGAAATATGATATTAAAATTAAATTTTTCAAAAAAAAGAAAAATATACCCGCTCTTTGAAATGATGGGTCAGAATCTAGTATATAGATAAAACTATTTATTTTCATCATAAAAATTTGTGAAAATAATATTAATTACTTTCTCTCCATAGATTTATTTTTATAGAAGTGTAAAAGGTATATCTTTGTGCCATACATGATAGTTGTGAAGTTTTAATTCTTATATTTTTTTATAATTTAGTTGTATATATAAATGATTTAAATAGAATTATTACACATAATAATTGGTCACAAAAATTTCTCAAAAAATTAAAACAAAAATACACTCACCGTTTGAAAGGGCGAATCAAAATCTAGTATTTAGATAAATTATATGTTTTATGTTAAAAGATTGTGAAAATAATATTATTTACTTTTCTCTCAGTAGATTTAATGATGTGTAAATCGTATATATTTGTGCCATACATGATAGTTGTGAATTTTTAAGTCTTATATGATTTATATGATTTTATGATTATTTGTATCATGTTGTAACAAAAGTTAGATCATTAAAAGAACAGGTCAGAATTTAGTATTTAGATAAAATTATATGTTTTACATTATAAAATTTGTGAAATAATAGTATTTACTTTTTTCTCAATAGATTTATTTATTTAGAAATGTAGAAAAGTATTTATTTGTGCCATACATGATAGTTTTGAAGTTTTAAGTCTTATCTATTTTTTCATGATTTAGTTTTATATATAAATGATTTACAGAAAGTGATTACACATAATTATTCTTCATAAATTAAAAATGGGTTACAAAAGATTTGATCCGATGTAATTGATTAATTCAAAAGACCCACAAAGTTATTGCAAAATTTTTAAGTTAATGGGTCTCGTTCAAGGAGATTCTGTGGGCATTTTAAATTTAAAGCCTTTCACCGGTTTGCACGGGAATGTAACTGATAAATTGATCGTGGTTTGGTTTGCAGTTTAATTAAATTAGATATAATATACATTCTAATTAGTCAATAGATAAATAGATGGTTGGACACAACCTTTATCAATAGGTCACACTGCTGTTTTAATAGAATAGATATACAATCTGAAAGCTTCAAGAGAATTCAAGGACCCAAAACGGCAGAAACTAACTTGATTGTCAGTTCACTACTTTTATTTGGGGCAAATGTCAGTTCACTACCTTAATAATATGCTTTTGTGTTTGATTATGACTAACTTGTGTTTAACCAAAACCAAATTAAAAAAAAATAACAAGTTCAATTTGTATGACAAGTCAGTTTCTTTGAAAAGGAAACAAAAATTGAGCAGTGAACTTTGGGACCAGTAACAGAAGAGGGGAGAGTGACACTTGTTGGCTAAACCCAGACACTGAATAAATTGCTTTTCTCACAACCCATACCCTATTTTTCTGTGTTTGTCTTTGGTCCCACTTCTTACACAAGAATTTGTCCTTACTTTAATTCTGTTTGTTACTGAGATCTTTGGTAACTCCTTTTCTTTGATTATACGAATCAGGAAAAATATTCAGCATGAGAATCCAATGCATTCAATATTGTTTTACCGTAGGCCCTAGTAGCCATTAGATTCATTCATCCATACACTATCAAGAACTCATGATCCAAAATGTGTAACAAAAGAGACTAGGATCAACAAATGAAGTTTGTAATGTACATTAGGAATAAGATTGTTCTTAACTGGTTTTTAAAGTAACCAATACATGAACTGAAGTCTTCAACAAAAACTGAGTTTTAAAGTAACGTGGAAATAACCAGTAGGAGAAATGTTTCATATCTTACTTCTCATTCTGACTAACTTTGCTAGTGTTTCTTGAGCAGCCAAAGTGAGCTCATGATTATGGCCAAGCATCACCGTCCTGATACTGATACAAGTCCTGCAAAGCTCCTCTCCACTATCAAAATGCCCTCCTCGCAGCAGCAGCTTCGCTCTTGTCTCAAGTAACAAAGCCTTCAGCAACGTAACATCCTGCCACACGTACTCATCAACCTTCTTGTTAGTCTTCTTCTTCCAACAGAGCGAGCTTTGGCGCCAATCTTGTATCTGAGTCACAAACGATTTCTCCGCATCCTCCAGCACATTGGTGCATACTTTCAGAAGCTCCAAAGCAGAAGTGCACCTCGAGAAGGTTGTGAAAGCTGTGATTGCTAAAGGAAGAGCTGTTCTCTTGATGTAAAGCACCAGATCCATTGCTTGCAACTCCACCAACGGAGGTTCTGATTTGAATCCGAATACTAAGAACGCTGAAGCCCACAAGTGATCAAGATTCAACAACGGGTTCTCTATTTTCCTCACGCCTTGAACCGTTGCCTTGGGAGCAAGTATGTAGTCTCTTCTCCTGGCGAAAGTTTGAGTTATGGGATGGAACTGAATCCAACATCCAGGTTGTCTGTTAGTCATCCTCGCTAGTCCTAACCTGACAAGTAAAAAAGCAGCATCCTCTTCGCTTCTTCGTCCTAGGCCACAGCCACCGCACCAAGCAAATGTGTGACTCAAACATTTGTTCCATTTACTAAACCGGTTCCCACCTGTGGGCATGTTTTTAGCAGCTGCAGCTAACAAGTTAACCGGTATAGGGACAGGAGCAAACCAAGCTCCCACTAGTAGCATTTTCAATGAGAGAAGGTTTCTGTTTCCTTCAGCTTGCTCCAAAACAGCTAAACAGAATGCTAATACCTTTGCAACGAATGGGTTTGATTTGCAGTATTGCTCATCGTTTGAGTTAAGAAAAGGAGAAGCTGAACGTTCTTCTAAATGAACTTTGTTCACAGCTTCAAAGAGAGCAGAAGGTGTGATAGCAAGCTCTGAAAGTAATGATCCTATCACCCAAAGACCATAGCTCAACCGTCCCAACTTTTCTTCAAAAACCTTGAGGATCTCAACCTCCTCAGCAGGGTAATCTTTCTTTCTTCTCCCTCTCAGTAACACCATTGCATCAGATGAAGACAAGACAGGGAGCTGAACTGTGTCAAAGGCCATGACTTTAGGAAGCCTTGTAGTGATCAAGACATGAGTACCTCCAGTGTTTCTTGGAATCAGATCGTTAAGATCTTTCCCTTCCCACCAATCTTTCTCTATCTCAAGATTATCAATGATTAACAGATAAGGCATGTCTCTGAAAAGCTCTCTCTTTATCCTCTTGAAAGCTTCAAACTCTTGTTCATCAAAGCTCCTAAGTCTACCTCTATCCTTCTCAGCATCAGCAGACACATCAACCCCCAAGCTGAATGACAGATTCAACAGGTTCTGTCTGAAGTATCTAGCTTCCCCTCCGACCCACAAAACCATCTTATACCTCTGAGAATAACGGTAAGCGAACTCAAGAGCTAACTCTGTCTTCCCAATCCCTGGAACTCCATTCACACAAACAACGCTTGTGCTGCTACTCTTGCAGTTACTACTGCTTCTACTTTTCTTAGTCTTCAACAGTCTCTTAAGAGAGTTTTTCCCACCATTTGGATCACTTCTTTGCTCTGAGCATCTTCCAAGCTCCAAGGTAATAAACTTCCCGTTCCGAGTTGATACAGCATCTGATTCCTCATCTGCAAGTCCTTCAGACTGTCCACTTGTTTCTCCCTTACTGCTTGGTGTTGTAGACTCAAGATACTCTCCACTACCAAAGAAAGCCATCTCCATCTCCATAATCTCCTTCTCTCTTCCAAGAAAAGTTCTGTTCCTAGGGAAAGGAAGCTCATCAATCCTCTCCACAATCTCTTTATCAACCACACTCTTCCTCCCAAGCTTCCCCCTAAGAATCATCGCCGTCTTCCCCACACAGCTTCTCCAGTTACTCTCATTAGCCTCTAGCTTAAACTCATGGCACTTAATCAACCCATCTATGGCTTCTTTACACTCTTTATCAATTGCATTGCAGTTGAGAAGAGACATAATCTCAGAAGGTCCAGTTCCATAGAAAATAGGAATCAAGTTCTTCTTCTGAGCAAAGAACCTAACTTCCTCCAAGCTAAGGTAGTTGAGCAGGCTTGAACAAGACACAACCACAATCCCATAAGTAACAGAACATATAACCCTGTCGGCGATCTCATGACTCTGTGTGTCCGAATACTTAGCTCTGTCAGCAACGAAACAAGCTATCCCCTGAAGCTCAAGCTCAGACTTAAGCCACTTGCAGAACCTCACCAAGTTTGGGTTTTGTCCGTGAAACCCTATGAAGACATCAGAGCTCCTGAGCTTGGTGGTGTTAGTGGTGGCAGGTGAAGAGACAGAGACTTTAGCTAAGGAGACTCTAGGGACAGGGAAGGAGAAGGAGATCCTTGGAAGAGCAGGATCTGGAGTACAAGCTGAGGATAACTTGAGCTGCTTCCGGTCTGATGGGTCGTCGGAGAACTCGTACTGGTCGGAAGGAGGAGTGTAGGAGCTGCTTGGAACATCTTCAGGCGGTGAGGAGGGAGGCTTGTGAGTGGTGGTGGTAATGGGTTGAGTGGTGGCTCTTGGGGATATATAAGGAGATTGTAAAGCGGAAACAAAAGCAGAAGATGGTGGGGACACAAGAGATGGTGAATTGAAAGGAGAGTTTTTTATACTTGGAGATGAATCTGAAGCATCATTTGTGTGAACATCTTTGCCTTTCTTGCTTGAAGAACTTGCTGTTGCTGATGCTGATGATGTTCTTATGGTTAATCCAACTAAACTTACTTCTTCTTCTCTCCTCATTCTTGCTTCCTCACTAAACTTGGTAAGGTTCTGTCTTTTTTTTTATCTCTCTAACTTGGTCTGAATCATTGTAGTCTTGACTGACAGATTATATTAAAGTGAGTGGGACTTTGAGGAGATGGGTCAGAACATGAATGCAACAGTAGCTGTTGTTCAAGGAGACTGGGGTAAAATCTGAGGAACTGCATGTGATGTATCTAACTCGTTCATTTGGTGGGGTCCTCCTCTCCTCTTCTTCTTTTTAACACTGTTGTTTTTCTTTATTATTTCCTCCTCTTAGCTCAGATTTGACCACAAAAACAAATCCAGTTTCAGTCTGCAAAATGGATGTCATGGGTCAGCAGAAAAATCATTGATTTATAACAATAAGTGTGGTCTTGTTGCGTTCATCATCATCATCATCAAGGTCATTGAATCTTTCATTCTCATTTGAATTAAAACCACAACCAAAAATGAATAGGAACAAGAAAAGAAAAGGGCAACAGTTTAGTCAAATCTTTAAAGATGATTTTCAAAGACTTACCCTTTTGTTTGATCTTTTTCAGACACAAGGCCAATGACGTGTCACTTCCCCTGCACCATTACAAGCCTAACTCTCTCTTTATCTGCTTCAATGTGTGTTTTTTAGGAAGAGCAGATTGTGATAATGAAGAGGGAGGTTGTGAGTTGGATCTGAAAGTGCTTATGGTGATTAAAGAAATGGTTAAGAGGAGCAGCCTGGAGATGGTTAATGTGTAAACATGTACCAATGTAATTTTATAATGATGACCCACTAATCAGTATATAATTAAAATCTTGGATTCTCTTCTATCTCATTTGTTTTAGCTCTCTCTCTCTCACATACACACAACTTCCTCCTGCAGTTAGATTCTTTTCTCTCTCTGATTTACTGAATGAAGAGACTTTTTTTTTTTAGTTTGTCAAGACGAGCTGGTTTTTAAAGATCTAAAACCAACTCATTTGGGATATAATTTTAACATGGTTACATTGAATTTAAGAAAGAATTAAATAGTCAGGGTCAGATTTAAGACATTGAACTATGAGCTTTAAAGAAAAGAGGTTGGAGTGAAGTAAAGGAACCATTTTCAGTTGTCTCAGTACTACTTTGGTTGTTTGTCGATTAGTCCTCGGTATTTTATGAAACTCCAAGACTGTACATTACAATATTTATCAATTTACACCATCATTGCTCTTATTAATAGGAGAAAATACCAAAAAGAGACCATGCATAATTTGTCTCCATAACCTTTTAGTTTGTAATTTGATTTTTGGGCAGTAAAAAATAAAAAAGAGAAAATGACTAGAATAGACTTAAAATTTTTTTTATCACAAATATAGACCTTAACAATTAAAAGAATCAAAATAGCACTTAAATGTTTTATTAAATATACATTTATACTCTTGGGTTAACTTTTTTTTATAACACTGGTATTAGTTCGAGCTTATAAGGAGGCATAACATACAAAGAAAACAAGGAAAAAGATAGGTGTCAGTAGACACGAAGAAAGAAAAGATTAGGAACTCTCACCACAACCTTCTACACTTGAGCCTCCAAAGCAAGTAGATGATGGAGCCAAACTGGACCTCCTTGAGCGATGTAAGATTGGTGGCGCAGATCTCGAGTGACACTCACCGCAATTGACGTTGCGGAGTCGTTGCGGTCGGGACGAACGTGGTCAACACTCCAACAATCTATTCGTGTGAGAAGAAAGCGGATATTGTGGCGAATATGGCTGAAGATATTGTTGTTATCTGGATTTGTGATAACTCCATGAAGGCTTTCAGACGCTGTTTCGAAGATTATATTAGAGAAATGAAGATTATGCATACATTCCACTGCCCAGAAAAGAGACCATAACTCTGCTTCAACTACTGTACGCATGCACGAGTAAGATCGACGACTGTGCATGATTGTAGACCCATGTTCATCACGTAGAATCCATGAAGCACCAGAAAGATGGCTCGAATTTAACCATGAGGATCCAACATTACATTTAAGGAATCCATGTGGTGGTTTTTTCCATCCTCTCTGATCCGTCTCATTAGCATCACTACTACCTTCATTCTTACATGAAAAAGTATCAAACCATGTTGATTCTTCTTCATAGGCTCGTTTTGCAATTAACGATGGTGGTAGAACTTTATTTTCAAAAATAAAAGCATTCCTAGATTTCCAAATTTCCCATAACAACCATGGGAAGACATTCCTTGTATGTATATCCGTACTAGAACTGAACCCATCTTGATTAAATGTACAAAATTTAAAAAAGTAGAGTTTCGAGAAAAACCACCTAAGGGAGTAGGGAAATTCGATTGCTCCCATGTATTACGGGCTTTATCACATGTAAAAAGAACATGACAGATACTCTCAGCACCATTACCACACACAGAGCATGTGGGGTCGACCGGGATACCCCTAGTATTCAACCGTTGTTTGACCGCCAACGCACCAGACAATGCACGCCACATAAAATGTTTAATTTTTGGTGGGGTTTTAATTTTCCACAATTTCCTCCATAACTGTTTTTCAATTGGTGTCAGAGAGTGACCCTGAGGTTGATCAAAATCCACTAAAGCCTCCAGTAACTTGTACCCACTCCGCGTTGAGTATGACCCACTCTTGGGTTAACTAATCTTAGATTTGTTTGTTTAGAGTTGAGGAGTGGGGTTTTGGGGATAGGGTTTCGAATTTAAAAAAATTAAGAAAACTTAAAATTTTCAAAATAAAAAGTGCTATTTTGGTCATTTTAAATTTTGAGGTCTATTTTGTGGCGCTTTTCTGAAGCCCATGTCCAACTCTATCCATAGTATGATATTATCCGCTTTGGGCCCAAGAGGCAAAGCCCGCACGGATTTGTTTTTGGGTTCCTTCCCAAAAGGCCTCATACTAATCAGAGTTGGCCACTACTTATATTTTAGACACTTTCTGTCTAAACTTCCGATGTGGGACTTGGATTGTATCCCAACAATCTCCCCCTCAAACCAAGGACCACATAACTCCTTGGACTTCAACCTCCTTGCGAAACCTGGTACCATCTTATACCGCTGTACTCAATAACAGAACTCTTCACTTAACTCTTAAGAAGATTTCGACACAAGCCTCCGACACCTCTTAATCGCAAAGTCACTTTGAGGAACTTCCTCCCACAACGAACATGCAGGCCCAACCCACTTTTCTAGGTCCACTTTTTTCAACATAGCTCTGATACCACTGTGGCGCTTTTCTGAAGCCCATGTCCAACTCTGTCCATAGTATGATATTGTCCGCTTTGGGAGAAAAGCGCCACAGTGGTATCAGAGCCTAGGTTGAAAAAAGTGGACCTAGAAAAGTAGGTTGGGCCTGCATGTTCGTTGTGGGAGGAAGTTCCTCAAAGTGACTTTGCGATTAAGAGGTGCCGGAGGCTTGTGTCGAAATCTTCTTAAGAGTTAAGTGAAGAGTTCTGTTGGTGAGTACAGCGGTATAAGATGGTACCAGGTTTCGCAAGGAGGTTGAAGTCCAGGAGTTATGTGGTCCTTGGTTTGAGGGGGAGATTGTTGGGATACAATCCAAGTCCCACATCGGAAGTTTAGACAGAAAGTGTCTAAAATATAAGTAGTGTCCAACTCTGATTAGTATGAGGCCTTTTGGGAAGGAACCCAAAAACAAATCCGTGCGGGCTTTGCCTCTTGGGCCCAAAGCGGACAATATCATACTATGGACAGAGTTGGAAATGGGCTTCAGAAAAGCGCTACATATTTTTGTGATAAAAATTTTAAAAAGGGCTATTTTAGAGAATTGCCCAAATAAAAAGGTAACTTATAAAAAAATAAAACTCCAAATAACATTTTATCTTTTGATCAAGCTATAAGGGTCGAAGAAAAACAAAGGAAAAAAGAGAGAGAGAAAACAGATCTCACTTTGGGTCCGGCGAGCGGCCGGCGCGTGAGCGTGCGTGCCGTCGCCGGAGCCCTCCGTTTCTTCTTTAAAGTCGTTTACCCTGTAATTTTCGCCGGCTCCTCCGCTCCTCCGCCTTGTCCGAGCTCTGGCTAGTCTCCAACCGCGATGGCTATGTTTTGGAGGGAAGACGCGGACGTGTAGAGGCTATGGTGCGGTGAAGTAGATCGTCTTGTTAGGTCTCTCCGGGAGGTGGAGGCTTGGTCAGTTCTGCCGCCGCTGGTCCTTGTCTCCGCGAGGTGGAAGCTCCTTCAGTTTCGCCGTAGTCGATTTTGGTTCTGGGAGAAGGTGGCTTTCTTAGCACCGTCATCGCCAGCTTAAGTCTCCGGGAGGCGGTGGCTCCTACAGCACCGCTGTCGTCGGCCCTTGTTCCCGGAAGGTAATAGTTTCTTCAATATTGCTTTCGTCGGTCTCTTTTTTCTTCGGTTTGTTCATGTTTCTCTCGATCTATGAGTTTGTGCTTCTTATGGTACTCTGCCTCTCGACCTATCATCTGTTACCGCTTCGTTTGTCGGAGATGAAGGATCGATTGAGAGCGTTTAATTCCTCTAGTGGTCTCGTAGATCTGTGTGGTTTTTGTGTGATGGTTGGTGGTTCTGTTGGCTGGGTTTCGGATGAGATCTCGAGTTCATCGATGATACTCTCTAATGGATGGTTTCCGGCGTTGATGAAAGTATCGAGTTGTATCTCGGTGGGGAGATTCCGACGGCGCGGCATGTTGTGCGCGTGCGTCTGTTAAGGTTTCTGATCTTGGGCTTCTAGGTCCAATTAGTTCATGTTTAAGCTGGCTATTTGTTTGGGCCTTTTAGTTTGTGGTTGTTTTAAACTATGGCTTATCTATGAAATTTTAGATGGCAAAAAAAAAAAAAACATTTTATCTTTTGATTTCATGAGTTTACATATGTGTGTGTACACTGACACAACATTTGAAATCTGATTCGCAATGGGAATTGGTCCAAGACCAGTGCACCTGTGACTTTATATGCATTATTTTTATTTACCCCATACATTTTCACATTTATCTACAATCACAAAGACTATAAAAAAACTTTATAGAAAAAACAAAAAATAAATTACTAACAAAATCTTGGAGTCTGTGACGTTAGAGCAGAACAAGTTGGGGTCTTTCTCTTATTTTTATCAGGTTGATCAGACACGAAAAAGCCCAGAACGTAGATAGAAGCGTTCATCTAAAGCTAAAGACAACGTCTCGTTGTTTCCTTGGATACAAAACAGCAACCATTGTCAATACAAAAGATGCAAACGTCAAAACCATTAGAAGAGACTGGGGTAAATTGGTACATTGCCTAAGATTTTTTATAATCCCTAACGGCGTACACACCGTCGAATCCTAGATCCGACCAGATTAGATCACAACGAATCGAACGGTCGTAAAACGTCCGACTCGTTACTCGCCGTTGCCAGCGGTTTCGCCACGTGTACCGACCAAGTCGCTCACACGTTCATGTTTTGTCTAAATTAAAGAAAAAAACTAAAAAAATTGATCGTCAAGCAGAAGAAGAAGAAGTTTAAACGATTTCTCGCAGCGAAACTCTCCAGCTTCCGACATTCAAGGGATATAGATCGTTCGACGAATGGTTCATTGAAATTAGGGTTTTTTCATCATCTTCTCGGTCTACCCCCTGTAAAGGAGCCACCTTTGGGAGGGTTTTTGCGTCACATTTAGGTACGTTAGCTCGAATCATATTGGCTTTGATTTTTCTTGCATTTTATCTGGAAGAACATTTGAGGATTTTTAACTTTAATTACTTGTATGATTTTCATTGTTTATTTTTTTTTGTGTTTTGAATTTTCGTGCTGGAATGATGTGTGTTTGCTATTATGATTCCACCTGAAACATTAGTAGGGTTTTAGATTATTTGGTGAAGTTTTTTGACCATGAACGATTATCTGGTCTCATCTTCTACTACTTTAGAAGCTGATAGGGTCGTATAGACTCCTCATTTTTATTTCAAAAGGGAGGATAAGAATAAGGAGAAATCTTTTTAAAGGGTGATACCTTAAGTGAGTAAGGAACTATGGAGAATTTTAAATTGGGTATATTCTTGTCCGGGACGTGATGCCGAACAAGATAGTCTTGGTTCGGATGGTTTTGCAATAGATGGGTCTAGTCATGGCGCTGTTCTTGCCTTTTCAGCTGGTATTGAAGTAGCAAGACCTCGACTGCAGCCAGCGGTTTCAAGGTTATGTATGAGAAGGACAAAAAGGTCATTTACTCTTTGGTGGGAAGAGTTTGATTAGTTTGGGGTGATAGTAGTCAACCTAGGAAGAGTAGTGTAGAGAATAGTCAGAAGGCTAGTGGAGTACTATATGCAAGCCGAAATCTGAAGGAGGTCTAGGGGTAAGATCTTTGCGCATAGTAAACCAAATTGGTTGTTTGAAGTTGATATGGAGGATCCTTGCCTCTACACCTTCGCTGTGGGTAAAATGGATTCAAAATTACCTGATTGGGGACTCTAGTTTCTGGTCAATCAAGGAGGACGCAAGAAAAGGCTCTTNTGGAGTACTATATGCAAGCCGAAATCTGAAGGAGGTCTAGGGGTAAGATCTTTGCGCATAGTAAACCAAATTGGTTGTTTGAAGTTGATATGGAGGATCCTTGCCTCTACACCTTCGCTGTGGGTAAAATGGATTCAAAATTACCTGATTGGGGACTCTAGTTTCTGGTCAATCAAGGAGGACGCAAGAAAAGGCTCTTGGATGTGGAGAAAGATCCTTAGAAGCAGGAAAATTGCAGAGAAGTTTTTCAAAATGGAGGTTAGAAGTGGAGAGCAAACCTCTTTCTGGTTTGATATTTGGAGTCCTATGGGGAGGATTTATGATTTGACGGGTAGTAGAGGGATCATTGATACGGGTATCCCTCTGAAGGCTACGGTTAAAGATGCTATTTGCGGTAGAAGGCGGAGAAGGCACAGAGCAGATCAGTTGGTTGCTGTTGAGAATATGCTGACGTCCCATGAAGACTGTTTGCATAGTGCAGAGAGAGATAGACCCCTTTGGAAGCAGAGTGAGAATGTTTATAAGGAATCTTTCAGTACTAAGATGACTTGGGACCAGCTGCGGGTTAAGGATCCAGATGTAAGTTGGAAGGATGTAATCTGGATAAAACACTTCACGCCAAAATATTCTTTCTGTGCCTGGTTGGCTATGCTCAACAGACTTTCCACGGGAGATAGAGTAGTCAAATGGGATCCTGGAGCAAATCAATGTTGTGTGCTATGTGAGGAGGAGGTTGAGACTCGAGACCATTTGTTTTTCCAGTGTGCTTACTCCTATGGGGTCTGGAAAGCGAGTGTTGGGAAGTTGCTGCGGAATGGATATACTGCGAATTGGGAGGAGCTAAATATTCTACTTGCTGATAGAGGGCGAGGTAGAATAGATAGTTTCNACAAGATTTCTGTTATCAAGATGCAAGGAGATAGGAAGTATGCAGGTAGCTATCAAAGATGGCTTGGCACAAGAGTTTAGAGAAAAGATAGAAATTTATATTTTGCTTCTATGTAAAAATATTATTGCAAAGTTGTAGAAACAGTCTTTTTTCTTTTTGAATGAATTTAACATTTCTTCAAAAAAAAAAAAAAAAAAAAAAAAAAAAAAGAAAAGTTCCAAAATAGGCAAGGAAAACTCTTATTCCAGTATTTAATTCGCTGACTCCAGAATTTCCAACTTTGTGTTTGTGCAGGGTGCTCCCTTTAGTTTGAATAGCATCGAACTTGGCGATGATGGATTATGACGAAGAGAATAGTGATCACGAGGCACATGCTTCAACAGAGTCAGTGCAAGAGTCCGAGATCAAGAACAATGGTTCCTCAGACAGTATGGATCCATTAACTGTGGCCTTCAACAGTTACCACAACTTGCAAGAAGTCCTTGAAAAAGGTAGCAATTTCTTGATATGTTAGTTTTCATTTGAATCTTGGTAGTTACTGCATTGTCATAGTGATTCTAAACAATGGTTCCTTTTGTAATCATCAAGTTGATTGTGTATCAAAGCTTCAACTCAAGATTCTGTTCCCTTTTCCATAACAGAACTCCAAAAATTCCAAGAGCTTGGTAAAGAATCTATATCATTACTACATGGTGTAGCAGAAAGCAGCAGTTGCGTACACTCAGGACATGACCGAGATGGTGAAGCTAGTTCTCTGGATTCCGAGGTACTAAACCTTGTTAAGAATGTAGAGCATCTGGAGATCAAATTAGAAGAAACAAAGCGTACTCTCCATGTTAAAGAATCACAAATCCGTCAACTCGAATCCACCATAAGTATTTCAGAGCGAGGAACAGCAGAGATGGAAGACATTTTCCAGCAAAAGATAAAGGCAGAGATTGAACATCTTACATTCTCAAGATCAGTGGAGAGCCTAAAAAGAAAGATCAAACTGATTGAAGAAGAGAAGGCATTGGCGGAAGCTCATAAGACTTTGTCTAAGCTTGAAGAAGCAGAAAACAAAGCTGAGAATCTAAAGAATCAAGCTCAAGATTTGAAAAACCATTGTGTAGACATCACAGAGATCCAAGAGGTGAAGAGTTTCAAGAAGAGAGTAGTTAAGACTACTTCATGTCTTCTTCTACAGTTTGGCTTGATGTTTATGCTGTTTAATATCCACTTCATGCCAGAGTCGGTGACCGTTGTGCCCACATGATGTATTTTGATTGTTAAATATGTGTTTTATTTTATTAATTTCTTTGTCACTTTTTTTTTTCTTTTAATTACTTATAATATTGTAACATGTTTGGCTCCAACAGATCAATTCCTCTTTTCTGCCTTTTGTTTTCCTCTGTGCTGCTGCAATGGCATGAGGTCAGTGTGTATGTTAAATACTTTGTTTTTCCTTTTTGTCAACTTTGCCATCATTTTCAGTAAATTCTTTATGAGATAAGAAAAAAACGATTAGGTATTTATCACAAGTGAAAGCTTCACCTTCACATTTGATCTTTATACTGTAAAAAGAGAAACTAAGATTTGGGTTATGCTTGTTCCAAAAAAAAGAAAAAGATTTGAGTTATACTTAGACACTAGGTGTTTTGTCCGCACTTACGTGCACATATTTATTAATTAATGTTTCATTAATTTAAAAACCAGTATAATAAATTAGTATTTATATTTTCAAAAAGTACAAAATCAAACATCAAATAATTATTAATTACAAATCACAAACATCATAAATATTTAAAAGAATATATTTTCTATAATTATTTTGTTTGATTTATGTTTAATTATAATATTTATACATATATTTTTAGTTAATTTAAATTTAATTATAATTTTTATATGTTAATTTTAATTTATATATATATATGTATATATATTCAATTGATTAAATAACATAACATAATTTTACGGCCAATTTGTGACTCAAGTCGAAGAAGCAATCCATGGTATCAACAACTGAGTTAGACAAAAGGAAAGATCATCACTTTATCAAGTGGTTGAGAAAACGGGTATTATAACTTAAGTTATATGCATACATTACTACATAGTAAATCTAATGTCTAGTTCTATTACTTTTTTGCAGGTTGATTATGACGATCTTGATTATTCCGCATGGTTTCGCGAATTACTTCAAGGTCCAGTTGCAAAGGTCACTACATCATCGATGTATTTCACCCGAGGCTATACTTTTCATACCTATGACTATGGTAGACACCGGGCGACAAGTAATTATGAAATATGTGTGAAAGGCGAAACAAATTTCTACGGGATCTTGCAGGAGATTTATGAAGTTCAATTCCCAGATATGAGTTTGAAATGCGTTATCTTCAAGTGTGAGTGGTACGACCCCATCGTCAATAGAGGTGTTTGGATTAACAAGAACGGTGTAGTTGATGTCAATGGTGGACGAAGGTACAACAAATTATTTTATTGACAAACATGTTTAGAGTACTAATTTCTACGTTGTCTTTATTTTTGCAGGTACAACAAATTCGAGCCTTTCAAATTAGCTTCCCAAACAGATCAAGTTTGCTTCATTTCATACCCTCGGATTACTACCTCGGGAATAAACTGGTTAGCTGTTATCAAAGTTGCACCTTGAGGACGAATAATCGCTGGAGAAGAACCACCATTATAAGAAGAAAACACCAATGAAATCAAGGAACCTGACGCAGAAATTGATGACATCCTACTCATTGATCCGCATAATCGTGAATACGATGATATTCCTGATCACTCAACGGACGAATGAGTTGAGGACGAGTTTTACGAAAATGATGATGTTTCTACAGATTCCGAGAATGTATCCGAATGAATTATGTATTTTTATAAGTTTGTTTAATCACAAAAATGAATTTGAATTATGTATGTTTTAAGTTTGTTTAATCACCAAATGAAATTGAATTTGGGGTTTAGGTGTAGAAGAGGTTTGAAGTTTGGTTGTAGAAGAGGTTATAAGTTAAGGAAGTTGTGGTTTGGTGTTTGGGGTTTCGAGTTTAAGGATTTACAAAACCTTTCCTCATAAAACCCTAGTAACAGAAAACGCGGGAATCACGATTTCCTCGTAAAGTCCACGTAACAATATTACTAGGACTTTACGAGGAAACCTAAACGCGGGCCTCATTATTTCCTCGTAAAGGAAAACGCGGGACTCGCTATTTCTTCGGAAAATTACAAGGACTTTACGAGGAAATCAAATTGCATATATAAAGTCGAGCAATCCAATTTCTCTCATTTGTAGCAATCTTTTCTCAAAATCCTCTTAAGATAATCTCTAATTCTTAGTTAAGTGATTAGATTAGGTGGTCAGTTTAGAGAATTTCGATTAGGTGATTAGTTTAGAGAATTTAGATTAGGTTGGTTTAGTTTTGTAAGTGTTTTTTAAATGATTTAAATATATTTATGTTTTATTTTTATTTTTAAAATTTAGATGCCTAGACTGAGCAAGATTAAGGGTAAGACGAGGCCGCCTCATGATGGGAGTCATTACAGAGATATGTTTGGTCGAGATCCTGGTCCCCATATAGGCGCATCATCTTCTTCAGCTTCCGGTTCTTCGATTATGGATGACGTTGTTCCCGACTCTCAGTTTTCTCAGAGAGTTTCTCCGGTTCCCCGGTTTGATCCACCACCTCCACCTCAGAGAGTTATACTTAGACACTAGGTGTTTTGTCTTCTTATTAGTGTTTCTGCGTTTATCTTTAAACTAAATATTAGATCGTCTTCATTTACCATTTATTGTATGTGCTTATTTCAAATATCTAACTGTCTTTGTTTAAGATAATATGTTGTGTTAGTTCTATATGTTACATATGTTTCTGAATGGAACATCTTGAGGTGTGTATTTCAAAATTTCAGATACCGAATAAAAATATCTATCTAGAACAATTAATTCAAACAAAATATGTAGTAAGTAAATAAATAATACTATATAACTATATGATGTGAAATTGTTAGGCTAAACACATAAGTAATTGTGTAATGCATGGAGAAGATAAAACACCAAACACAAAACAATTAATTTATAATATTTACTAATATAGCTAATCAAAAACATAACAACCCTGCTCAAATGCAGAGGAACATTTTTAAACCCATCCAAAATTGTTTGATAGAACAAAATTTATTCACCTAGCCATGCATTTATTAACAAAATAAAAATATATTTGATAAGGAAAATGGTATTTGCGAATTTTAAACATGAACGATTCTGTTTTTTTTTACATCATTTCGATGATTTTTTTTTGTCAAATAACATATAAAACTTTCTTATATTTAAACAATTTATTAAGAACAAAGCAAACCCTATAATAGATAATCTGCGCGTAGCGTGGACAAAGACGCTAGTATCTATTAAGAAAACAATATAGAAGCAACATTAGTAAGTTACTCATATCCTGCCAAAATGTGTCACAAAATATCCCCTATACTTTGTTGAGATGGGTGTCTAAAGAGAGAAATTAAAGCTACTTTATGACTTATTACTGGTTTCATCCCTTAGGGTGAACCTGAAGTTCACCATCCAATAAGATTACATTATTTCATAATTAATATTTTTTTAAAAAATAAACAAAATTTTATTAAGTTATATCATGTTTTTAAAAATAAAAATAGAAAAATAAAAAAATATAAAAATAATAATTAATAAAAACGAAAATATTTCTTTTTAAAGAAAATAATTTAACACTAAATTCTAAACACTAATCCTAAACCCTAAACCCCTAGGTAAATCATAAACCTTTGGATAAACCTATAAAATTTTAGTGTTTATGATTTACCCAAGGGTTTTAGGGGTTATGATTAGAGTTTAGGGTTTAGTGATTGTTGGGCCCGAATTTAGCACGTTAGCTGAATTAATGGGCTGAATAGTCGAAACCATTTATGAGGCATTACGAGCCCATTAGAAAGCCTTCCCTCAAACAAGAATCAAATGAAATCGTTACCTATCGATAAAAACAGGTCACGAACAAAAGACTCGGGACCTCGTTTACAAACAGCTAACGAGAAACAGCTCCGGGAGAACGTACAAGACTTAGTCAAGAGGAAGCTGTTGCAAATCCCGCAACTCACGGAGATAANCTTCGCCGGGAGAAGTTGGACGTGACCTAGTGCTATATAAAGAAGAGAAGAGATCAGAGAGAGGGGATTCGATTCATTAAAGAGAAAAAGACTCTAATACACTTTGTTCTTAATCATTTTCTATCAATCATTGTTCTTTCTATTAGATCGTGAAGATCATCCTTGTAAACTCTTTTATCATCAAAATCAATATAAACAATGTATTCATTCATACAAGTTCCAACAGGATTCAGCCCACGATTATCTTTTCCCAATCTATACCTAACCTAAACTAGGAAGTGAGTTTTACCCCTCACATTTTGGCGCCGTCTGTGGGGACGAGATAATTGAATCTTTCACTCCGTAACTTGAGAATGGATCCATCCAACCAGGCAACGAATCCATCCATCCCGGATCCCGTGATCCAGATCGACGGATCACCGAACAGAAGAGATCCGGACCCTCAGGATCCGGAACCTCAACCCGCTGACCTTCGATCCGAGCTACAGCCTCCGGCTGATGCTCAACCGAACCGAACTGGGATAGCTAACCCAAGGTCCTCCAGTGGAAACAACGCCGGGGCTACGCTCCCTGGAAACCCTCAACGCCAACACGCTCCGCATCATTCGGAAGCTCAGCTATCCGAAATGCGCCGAATGATGGTGCAGTTGGTAGAAAGAGCTCAGGACAATGAGCGTACCTTGCAACAGCTAACTGCCCGGCAGCAACGGTTCGAAGAGGTGACGAGATCTCTAACAGAGACAACTCATCCGTCACAACGTAAAGGCTCAGGAATCGCCTTTTGAGATCGACTCACCGAACCCACGTTCCCTCGCGGACGCTTGAACTTTTCCCCCGACAGCATTGCTCATAATGGGCAAGAGCCTGTTCTCCGGACGCCTCATACCGGGACAACCCCAGTATTTAGTCCACCTATAACCAGTGCTATGGGAAGTAACATAGCGACGACTAGCTCAGCACCCAATAGGGTTCTCGAACACAGCACCCGATTGCCGCCTCCGCCACCTATTTTTAGGTCCGGAGAAGGAATGTCTCCCCCTCCTAGAG